CTACTGCTCTCATAGTTTGAAGGAAAGAAAGAAGACAAGCAGGTGAGGGAGAGAGTGGTACGCTAACTGCCCTGTGTTGATCCTTCTAGCCACGTGGTAACAGGCCCTCATCCTGACTAAATAAACAGAATGTGTGTGGTGCCTGCTCGCAGGAGACTGAATTAGCAAATAAATCCTCCGAGCGCCACATTTCACACTGAGACAGCTCTGTGTGTGCGTGTCTCTCAAAAGCATACGCAATTGTTGCTCACAGGGTTCAAGCGTTCTCGCTTGAGTACTCCTCAGGAGGGCCTGTCTAATTAAATAGCGGCTTCCTCGTGGATCAAAAGCGTATAAACACACACAATTCGAGACATTACAAAAAAGGGATATTAAGTTGAAATGAAACAAACATGGCACTTAATGATTTTGCTTTTTTTAACATTTGTGTATTTAATATTTTTTTATAATGCAGGTTGTCCTTTATTGGAAAATATCAAGGGTTTACAAAAATTGTATGGTGCATTTAACTGTCTAACCTAAAATCTATTGTGTTGTATCACATACATATGGAACACACTAATGTTAGCAGCCCAATGCAACATCCATATTAGGAGGATCCAGGCGAGAGGAAGTCTGTCTTTATGAACTGTTCCAACAGCACTACCTTTTCCGTCCTCTAAACGAGTACCACATCTTCATCTCTCCCGCCGTGCTCAACAGACAGCTCAGCTCATTACAGGAAACAGGCTAAAACAGGCCACGGGCCACCTGCTAGCTCCCTCTCTTTCTCCCTTCAGTCTGTCTTTTTCTTGATCCGTGTTGCTCTAATTTTATTTTCTCACACTCTCTCACTCTGACTCTCGCCTTTCCTTGCGCTTTCAAACACAAAGACACAAAGCAACAAAGAGAAGAACCTTGAAAGGGACCTTGGTGTTCACTGTCTCACAGATTTTAGAGACGTACTCACTTTCTGTCAATCTCTCTATATATAACATTAGTTGAATTCCTTGTCGTGTCGGGTTGACTGCCTTCAAAATAGCACTGAAAAAAATGAAAAGTTACCCTACAGAGTCATATGAAAAACAAAAAAAAACAAATAAGATTGCCTTAATATATCAGTTGTTTCTTCTAAATGGCAGTGCAATGAGAGCAAATGGACACTTCTCTCCTGCTTCAGATTTCAGAGAACAAATTTCAGAAGATATCAACGTCACAAACATGCCAAGATGCCAAGACTGCAATCGAGTCCCAACTTCCAAGAATTACATATGCTTTTCACATTAACATCCATAAAACCTTTCTATTGCACAAAAGATTATTTATAGTGGAAAAGGGTTCTTTAGATTATTAAGATGTTCTCCACATTTAGAAAAAAATGGTTCTTTTAAGAACAGTTCACTAAAAAGTTGTTTGGGGAACCCAAAATGGTTCTTCTATGGCATTCGCTGACATAGAAGAAACCCCCTTTTGGAACCTTTATTTTTAAGGGATTATTGGTGTTTAATAAATGTAACACTGAACTATGTCAACGCTGGTGTAGCTTTAACAATTTCTGTCAGAAAGTGTTTACGTGACATTTTAAGAAGACATTAATGCTTTTGTCTGACTGAAATTAAACATGCAAATACGCTTACTCGTGCTCTAAATGGGAGCAAATTCCTGTATCTCTCTATCTACATCTAAAAGATCTAGTGGAAAACTTTTTTAGAAAAGAAAACTGTTATAGCAGCAAAAGAAGGACTAAAGCAAATATGAGAGCAGTGTTTTGGTTTTTACAACATTTAGTCATGTAATATACCAACTAGAGTTCTCGATTTCAATTAAATATAAATTTTACACCTGTCATTTCTCTTAAAATTCTTAAAATGTAGTAAGAGTTTAGAGCAATAGTGTAAAAGATCCTTCATGGGACCATAGACACGTAATACATAGAACAAACATTATGCAAGTTCACTGTTTTTGTGGTTGTGTGGTACACTGCAGTACTCTGTAATCTAACTGCTAAAAGCATGTTATCAAAAGAGACAAAAGCAAAAAGAGAAATGGTCCCTCAAAACACATATTCACAGCTGTTGGGCCAGCTTGCCCGGCTCATTTCACTGAACACACAAACAGGCACATCTGAAGATAAAATGGGGGCACAGATAAACATTCAGACCCAGAACTCTAGACGTAAACATCCAGACCCAAATTCAAACCAAAATCAGAGCAGATACATTTTCATATCATTTACAAATCTGCATGCAGACAGTAGGGGCTACACCAACAAGTGTCTGAGATGGATCCACCTGTGTATTCAACAAATACTGCAAGTTTCATTATCACTATTACATGCAATCTGATTAAAAATGTAATTCATATTGGCATGAAGGCTAGGAAGCATATGGAAATCATGCCTTTATCACAGAAGGAAGGTTGATGCACTGTTACGGACATGTGATTCAGCACTCTGGCTGCGTCTCAAATGCTCATCTGTCATCGCTCAGGTTGGGTGAGTCACTGTCTTTAATCACTTCAGTGGTTCCCATGGTGATGTGAAAGTACATGTAAGTGCTAGCCACTTCATGCAGGTAAACTTATTTGTGACTGTACGCAACAACATGTGGACAACAAAACATGACTACCCAGCTGACCTTTTTTTGGCAAATTTTGAAATGATTTCAAGTTCACCATTGATTTTATGTATAAAAGCAACATTCTGGTTTATAATAAATGTGGTTTAAAGTAGATTTTGGAGTTTGCATATAACAAGCCTGTCCATGAGTGACCTACTGAAAATACATACTAACATGTATTTCTATTATTTTGGTTTATGATGGTTTGGAGATGGTGTAGCTGGTGAAGTCACTCAACCTAGGAGGCCAATTTGATAATGCCTATTGTTTTTACCTAGTGACAAGAGTGTAGTACAGCACTTTTTATAACACTTTACCATATTTAAATCCATTTCACCGAATCTTGCATGTTTCCCTCCAAAATCAAAACCCTCCCAAAGTAGTTTTTGTGATTTCTGTATTTATTCCAGTAGATTTGGTCTTGCATGCCCCAAATAACTCACTGGAGGCATTGTAAATATAGCCACCAAAGAAACTAACTTTACTTGAAAATGACTTTGCTGTTATCCCCTAAAACCAGATTTTATTGAGTTAATGAGAACTGGAATGATTATTTGAACTGGATCCAAAATCAGTGCAAAAAAATATATGTAGGCCTACCAGGATTAGATTGTATGTAGATTGCATGTGTGAAAGGACATGGTGATGAAAAAAAAATGTGTTTCTACAGTAACCCCATAGTGATGGGGGTAAAAAAAATTAGATGGGAGGGGAAAAAAATCAATGCATTTGTGTACCAAAAAACTTTCTGTTCAGAATGATGCAAAACGAAAATCTAGGGATGCAAAAAAAAAAAAAGGAGCATGCACAACTAAATGTGCGATATTGACAGATATGATAAATAGAAAAAAGTCTGTAATGTCAGCAGATAACTGATATGGTCCCAATCTACTGGGCATCCGTATGAAAAACTTTTTTTTTTATTTTTTTTTTTACACAAAGTCCCACGGAATGGAGATGGAAAAAAAATGAAATGAGGAAAAATTCTGTTTCAATGCCTTTAATGTATTCACAGTACTGTTGCATTCCCTCAAGAAACTTTACATTCTTTTGCAAAAGTTTTCAGTTCTCTGACAAAACCTTTTGCATTCCCTAGACAAACATTGCATTTTACCCTGTTAAAAAATTGTTTTTGCAAAGGTTTTCCATTCCCCAGAGAAACTCTGCATTCACTTGCAAAAAATTTCATTCCCCAGAGAAAGTTAGCTTTATTTTGCTAAATTTTTGCGTTCTCTGATTAAAATTGTTTGCGCCCCCCACAAAAAAATTTGTTTACTAGAAAAAAAAAATGTAAAACTGGTGATGGAAATAAAATGAGGTGGGAGAAAACAAAATGATTTTACTGGTTTAGCAAGCAAACTGTTTTTGTACATTCGTGATACTAAGAACTAAAAAGAATAGTAAATAAATATGTGTTCTTAATTCTTAACATTTAATTTGACAAAATGTCAAGAATAAAGATGAATGATGTTAGATAACATGCACAGCCTTCTTGGTAGGGAATCTGGCATGGTCTTAGTCAGCCCTGGACAACTGATCACTTCTCCTTATAAGAGTTCATGGGCAAGAAAACAAAAGTCAAGCAACAGGAAATTATGAAATTCTTATAGTTTACTGAGAAAAATTATTTCTTTTCATGACAAATTACTGGAACGAAATAACACTATTAACTGGGTACCAGCATTTAAAAATACTCTTTTCTAACTGGGGCCTATGAGTCATATCAGTACACTGTAACAGAGTAAATACACCTACATGTACATCAGTTCCACTGCCATGTGATGTGCTGCATGAAACATCAACCCCGACCAGTACCAACAAACAGCAAATCCATCCATGCAGTTCAGGCATGCGTTTGAAGTTCTATTGCTTGTGTGCCATCTAACTCTCTACCCACGGGTCACATGAGTGATATTTTAAAAAAGGATAGAGGGTGTGTGGAAGAGAGAAACTTTTGAGAACTATGCTTAAGTCCTAGGGAACTCATTACTGCTTAATACATTATCAGTGCCAATGGCGGTGGTGCAGCCTGTTACAAATACATCCACACAGCACTCTGTCTTTATGGACCTCAGTACATTCACACACACAGGGCACAGTGTCAGCCCCAAAAGTGCTATTTAAGCCACTGATAAGTTCCCTTTGCCACTGAGAACAGGAGCTCGCTGACACAGCACAGTAGAGGTTGCCATTAAAATTAATGTCCTGGGATTAGAAAGACACTTAGGTGGGAATTAATAACAGAGAACTTACGAGAGGGTTAAACGTGTGAATAAAATGTGCTATGATGCTAATGAGAGCATGATAATGTGAGAAAACTTGTTGAAGGTCTCCTGTCTATCACTCTCTGACTGACAGGCCACTGGGAGGATTGCTGGTGATGGGAAATGCAGTCATACTCACAGCTGGCATTGGTCCCCTTTGACCCCTTTAGTGGTACAGTAGCATTTCCCTGAGCTGGAGTGGCACACGTTGGCGTGGTTGTTACATCTGCAGGCTGGAGAGATGATAGAAGACAGACAGAAAAAAAAGGGGGAACATTTTTTAAAAGGATTGTTCAGCCAAAAATGAAACATCTGTAATTTAATTACTCACTCTCATATTGTTTCAAACCTGTATGACTTTATTTCTTTTGTGGAACAGAATAGGAAAAGTTGGATACTTTTTTTCCCCTGTAATTACAATGAAAGCATCAATGAATAAAGAAACTTTCACGCTTCACAAAAGATCCAAATGCACCATAAATGTAAAAGTAGTCCATCAAAGTCTTCAAAAATTAGTGTTTGAGGAACAAACCAAAATTCATTATTCACTGATTATCCTCTTTCATTGTGCTGTTATCAAAGACTATATGAAGAGTTTATTTGCAAAAACCGATAAACTCCACTTGAAAAAAAAAATGAGCTGAGTGCCATGCGTTATTCTCCACACAAATCTGAACCCTAAACACGTTTTGTCAAAAAAGCCGGTATTGTCCACTTTCAAGGCATCGCGAGTTCAGGTTTTACTGCAGAAGCCGACAAGCGCCCTTGTTGTTTGTGAACAGAAGCAGATAAGTCCATTTTAGCGAATCAGCGCGCTGTATTCAGGTCAGGTGACAAGGCTGCGTGTAATCACAACCATACAGTCTATGATCACAACAACAAAGCTTGCCAGGTGTCTATGTTGTCAGCTGATGAGATTACAAAGATAAACAAGTGGGGTTTTTTTTGTAACTCTGAAACTTGAAATGTGGAGTTATCTGCTTTTGCCAACAAACGATTGTTGGACTTATCTGCTTTTGCTATAAAACAAACTTTTAATCTATATAAAAAACATACTTTCAATGAACTTTAATTTTGTAAGTTACCTGTATTTAAGTTATTATTACATAATCAAAACAACCCAACTGCAGTTTGATTGATATTTCTTGGACTGCACAATAAAAAAAAACATGATTTCTGAAAATAAATAAAAATGGAGTTATCTGTTTTTGCAAATAAACTCTTCATATATACTAAGATGGTTCAGTTGAATTCATTTGAAAGGTAGAAACAGCATGGTGCAATATGGTGGCTCTTGTAGAAGGAAGTCCTGCCTTCTAAACAAACAAGCTACTTGCCAATTGGTAAAGATATCGCATCAATGCAGCTGCTGTTAGGAGCTCCAGAAACAGTTAGTTTCCTAAAATTCATGCTTAGAACTGCACATTTACATTGGCCACATCTGAAATATACCTACACGTTTTTAAACAGTATTTCAGTGTAGGAAAAAATATTTATTAGACAGCTAAAGTCAGACTTTACTGCCAATTTGAAATATATTATTGAAATGCTAGTTTGGCAAGCAGTTTTCGTTATTTCTGTATTCCGGTAGATTTGGTCTTGCATGCCCAAAATAACTCACTGGAGGCAAATATGGCCACCAAAGGAACCAACTTTACTTTGAAAGACTTTGCTGTTATCCCCTAAAACCAGATTTTATTGAGTTAATAGGAACTCAAGAAAGAGATTTGGACTGGCTTTTTGAACTAGATCATATGATTCATAGAGAGAATCCGATTCAAAAGAATAATTCATTTGTAAATGGGACATCACCACTTCTCTCATAAATTCTCATAAATGCTCGATTTTTGGATGAATTCTGCCCTTAAGTGGAACTACAACAGTCTATAAATAAACAAGGCTCAGTTTGCATTTAAACAGACGATTAATGTGACAATTTTAACAAACCTGAGTCTACATCTCTGGGGCTAGTGTTCCAATTTTCTCATTACAGATGCAATTCTGATTAAAGGTTATCAGACAGTAATATTAGAATTAAACCACATAAACAAACAGAGTTTACCCCAGTGCATAGACTATTATTCAACAGAGAGAGTTCATTAAGCAGATTAGTGTCACAGAGGTGAGGCTCCTGAACAAGCAAGACTATTCCATTCTTCACAAGCCATTGACAAGAGCAGTACCCCTCCAAAATAAATATCTCCTGTGAGATCCAAAAACCAGGGCCGTCCTTAGCTGACGCAGGGCCCGGTGCGAGGTAGGGAGCGGGGCCACCTCGGTCCGTTTGCGATTGCGTTCCTCAAGCGCGGGGCCCGGTGCTACCGCACCAGTTGCACCCCCCTAAGGACGGCCCTGCCAAAAACCAAATGGCCAAAATGAACCATTTGGGGTGTGGTATAGTGGCTAAAGCCCCCTGAGATGCTCCTGAGGGGACTAACCGTGCCATTTTGGATAAAAGTGTTTCCAAAATCACTACTAATTATTAGATTAATTATAATTTCTTGGAAGGTAATTGTTTGTTTGCAATTTCTACTTACAAGAGAGACAGTTCTACTCAACCTCTATTTGCTGTAGATATGACTTTTCATGTCATTCATAATACCTGGATGAGGATTTGTTTATATATATATAAAAAAAAAAACTCAGCTTAATATTTGGTAGCACACTGTTTGGAAATAATAACTGAAATTAATCACTTGCTGAAACAATCAATGAGTTTACACCTCTCTTCTGGAATTTTGGACCACTCTTCTTTTGCCAACTCCTCCAGGTCGTACAGATTTGAGGGGTTTCTTCTCTCAACTGCTGTTTTGAGATCTCTTCACAGGTGTTCTATGGGATTTAGATCTGGACTCATTGCTGGTCACTTCAGAACTCTCCTGCACCTTGTCTTAAACCATTCTGAGTGCTTTTTGAAGTATGCTTTGGGTCAGACCCATGACCTCTGACTGAGATCAGCTTTCTGACACTGGGCCCTACACTGTGCCCCAGAATTCTTTGGTTGTCTTCAGATTTCATAATGCCATGCACACAGTCAAGGCATCTAGTGTCTGAAGCAGCAAAGAAACCTAAAAACATCAGTGGACCTCCACCTTGTTTGACTGTAAGGACTGTGTTCTTTTCTTTGAAGGCCGCATTTCCTTTTCTGAAAACAGAAGAATGATGTGCTTTACCAAAAAGCTCTATTTTAGTCTCATCTGTCCACAGGACCTTCTCCTAGAAGGATTTTGGCTTCCTCAGGTAAGTTTAGGCAAGGCTTTTTTATGTGTCTGTGTCAGCAGTAGGCTCCTCCTGGGTCTCCTACCATAGTGTCACTTTTCATTCAGATGGCGATGGATAGTGCAAGTTAACAATGTTGTACTCTGAGCCTGCAAGTCAGCTTGAATTTGTTTGGAAGTTGATCAAGGTTCTTTATCCACTATTTGAACTATCCTTCACTGCAAACATTCATCAGTTTTTCTCTTTTGTCCACATCCGGGGAGATCCGCTACAGTGCCATGGGCAACTTCTTGACAATGTTACGCACACTGGACACAGGAACATTAAGATCTCTGAAAATAGATTTGTACCCTTAAGATTGTCAATGCTTTTCTACAATGTTGGTTCTCAAATCCTCAGACAATTCTACGCTCTTCTTTCTCTTCTCCGTGCTCAGTGTGGTACACACAGACACACAACACAAAGGATGGGTCAACTTTTCTCCACTTTAACTAGTTGCAAGTGTGATTTCTATATTGCCAACACATGTGAATTGCTACATGTGAGTTTAATTACAAATTAAAGGACCATCATATGCTTGAAATAAAAGACAAACAAACATAAACATAAACAGGAGAATACCAAAGCATTTGTAATGGCAACAATATTCTGGGAGAAGTACTGCATTACCTGACAGAAATGCAATATATATATATATATATATATATATAATGTATACATGATTCAAAATAAGGGATTTTCTTACCTAATTTATTGTGGACAAGGTGAAAATCTTAAGTTTGATTGCTTAAAAAAATGAATAGCACACCTGTCTGCAACCGCCGCAGTTGACTAAAGCGTCTGCTAAATGACTGCATTTTCTTCCTAACAGGTATCTGAGGGTTTTTACAGCCAAAGATCCAGGTGTTTGTCAGAACATTCATCACGTTCACAGAACAATGACTGCACACTATTATGAGGTGAGACTGTTTATGTTGATCTAGTCACATGTATTTTTGCTGTACACATTAATGAGCTGGTTTAATCACTGTGTAATTTATAGAGTATGGCTGTATTTGTAACACTACACACCGAGCCTTCTCCGGTACAACTGATGTCAGCAGATTCCACATGCCTTAAACTCCCTCTCCACCCAGAGTGTCATATTATACAATGCCATTAGACTATAAAATGAACTAGCTGCCTTTCCAGAGCGACCCTGCATAAAAATGTTTTCCATTGACTTGTTTACATAGCATGGGATGGCTCTCCCAGTCAGAGATTTTATTTGGATCTAGATACAGCCGTAAAAAGGGCTGTCACATTTCTAAATAAAAAAAAATTAAAGAGCAACAAAGAGAGAGAAAGAGAGAGAAGAAAAGAACACAGCCTTTTTATCAAGAGGCTTTACAGCTTGCTGGCTTTTTATCTGCAGGTCTGTTCCTTACACAACTCTCTGTTCAAATTCCCTCAACATGCACTGCAATCGCTCTTTCATTCCAGCCAACAAGAGACAATTGACAAAGGAAAACATTCATTTCTTAGCACTCAAAATATTTTATTGCTGTTGTCTGCTAAGCGAATCTCATAACTATTATGAGTGCTCATACTTTGTGTTAAAGTGTTGTTTCACACAGTTTGTGCTATGAACATGAAATAATGAGAGAGATGTGCTCATAATTTTTTTAACGTTTACATACGATTTTTGTCTGGCAATCAATAACACCATTTGATATGCGCACACACATTATTATAATCATTATTATTCGCTAGTCAGTAAGATTTTTTTGTAATGTTTTTGAAGGAAGTCTCTTACGTTCAACAAAGCTGCATTAATTTGATCAAAAATATAGCAATACTGTGAAATATTATTACAATTTAAAATAGCTGTTTTCTTTTTTAATATATTTCAAAAGTTAATTAATTCTTGTGATGGCAAAGTTGAATTATCTAAAAATAACATGATACATTTTTTTTCAGTTCTGTTACAATCTAAATATAATTAGTTTTATATTATATTATATTATATTAACCC